AGGAGCAGTTTGCCCAATGGAACCCCAAAATCGGCTTACAATGTCACGGCCTTCACGGCCTGTGGGCTGAGACGTACGCCTGCGTCGGTGTCCTCGACGACGCCCCCCCGCCCGCTCCTGACGCGACCGTTCCGTCCAACGGCATCGAGACCCCCCAGCCTATACAGCCCGACATGGTCGGCAACTGCAACAAATTCCACTGGATTTGGAAAGGCAACACCTGCGGCCAAGTCACGTCTTACAATGCAATCTCGCACCACGACTTGGCAACGTGGAACCCGCAGGTCGGAGAGCAATGCACCGGCCTGTGGGCGGAAGCCTATGCTTGCGTAGGAGTCATGGCAGGCGCCGCGACGCCAGACAAGACAACCCCGTCCAACGGCATCGAGACGCCGCAGCCGACGCAGCCGGGCATGGTGGACAGCTGCAAAAAGTTCCATTGGATCAGCAAGGGTAACACATGTTGGCAAATCACGTCGCACAATGGCATCTCGCAGCAGGACTTTGCGACGTGGAACCCACAGATCGGGGAGGAGTGCACAGGCATGTGGGCTGATGCGTATGCTTGTGTTGGTGTTTAATATTGCATGTATAGAGAGGGTTAGACAGGGAAATAGGCTTTCCCAAGAAGCATGATCATCTGAGACGGAGCAGAAGAATTCTCCAACTTGACACAGGGGTTTGAAATCAGGTAGTAGCTATTCATCAAGTTATTTTCCAATTTTCCAACTTGACCCAATCTCACTTCTGAAATACGAGCGCATCCAGCCTTTGCTCTACATCTGTGCTCCCACCCAGTCGTGACCTTAAAAAGGCGAAACTCGCAAAAGTACAAACAAGCCTGCGTCATCAGACACGCGAGCGACAGTATTCTGATCGATGATCAGAAATTGGGCCTGAGGAAATTAATGACGTGGACATACCGGGAAGGAAGCCTGGACTCGTTGGCAACCAGCCTCGACATTGCTGCGATGTGTGCAGCACTGTTGGCTGACCCAACCGCTCCAACTCTGCAGAGTCAGCCAACTTACCATCGTCTCCGGGTAGCTGGTATCCCGATCGCCGTGCTAGTCACGGCTACATTGACTGTAGTTGACGAAGCCATCTCAGAACAGATGTAAAGAGACAAGAGGCGACTGTTGGGTTGAGTGTAGGGTGTGTGACAAGTGACGAGAAGCGGGCAGGCTGCGGGTGTCGAGTTTGAGCTAATTAACGCTTATAGTGCCTGAGGCAATCACTCTGCTCGAAGCGCCGGCTTTACAATGGCCTGCCAGTCAGCCAGCCTGATCAACTGGCGAATCCGCCCGCCTTACGAGTGACAATGAGGAGGCCATCTTTGACTGTGTGCCGCTATCAAAGTTTTGTGTTTCGTTTAATTCGCCTTCCCGCGACCGCAACTCCATCTCGCGGCTTCCGCGCCTCTTGCTTCCCCCTTCATCTGACAGACCGGCCCCTCTTGCGTCGCGCCGTGAGTAAAGTAGCCAGCCAGCCCCCTGATGGGAACGAGGCGCCCGACTTGGACTCGGGTATCTGCTTCCATGCCATCGACGATGCCGAAGCCTTCTCCAGGTACGGCCCCGGAGGCTACCACCCCGTGGTTGTCGGCGACCGGCTCGACGGACGGTACCGCATACTCAATAAGCTCGGCCACGGCAGCTATTCCACTGTCTGGCTTGCCCGTGACGAGACACTCCAGCGCCTTGTCGCCGTCAAGGTCTGCACCGCTGATGCGCGCCCGCGTGAGTCTGAGATTCTTCACATCTTAAACAACTTCTCCGAAGCAGACGGCAGCAACGTCTCAGGTCCGAGGATGTTGCCCACCCTCCTCAGCACGTTTCGCGTTGATGGGCCCAACGGCACTCATACGTGCCTGGTTACCGAAGTGACGCGATGCAGCGTCGTCGAGGCAAAACGTAGAAGCACCTCTGCACCGCTCATGCTGCCTGTTGCGCGTGCCATCGCCGCGCAGCTAATTCTTGCCGTCGACTACCTACACCAAAACGGATTCGTCCACGGAGGTGAGCGCCCATACCCCGGTCCCCTACTTCGATCGCATCGGGATATTAGAGTAGCCTGACCGAGTCTAGACCTCCATCTTGGCAATGTGCTACTAAAACTCCCGCGGGAATCTCATTTCTGGTCCGACGAGGAGCTGCTGCTGCAGTGTGGAGAGCCGGAACTAGAGCCGGTTCAGACATTTGACGACCAGCCGATCCCATCCGGCGTCCCTTCTGTCGCTACTCTACCCATCTGGTTCCCCATGGGAGAAACCAACGAGCTCACGCTGTCGGACGCCCCCATCGTGCTTGCCGACTTTGGCGAGTCGTACCGTGCGTCTCAAGAATCCAAGTTTACGTGCTGCACGCCAGCGCACTGTCGCCCGCCCGAGTCCAGGTTTGAGCCGACGACACCCAAGTCCTTCTCCAGCGACATCTGGACCCTCGCCTGCGCTGTCTGGGCCACCCTCGCCCAGCGGCCCTTGTTCGACGTCTTCTGGTGCACCGAAGACACGGCGACGTGGATGCAGGTCCAAACTCTGGGCAAGTTGCCCGACGAGTGGTGGGAGAAGTGGGATGCGCGCGTAAACGACTTTGCCGAGGACGGCCAGCCGCTCCGCCGCGACGACAGCCCCGTCTATACCTTTGACTACCAATTCGAGGATGCCATGCAGGGGGGACGCAGAAGATATGAAATGGAGACGATGGGTTCCGCAGAAAAGGAGGCGCTACTCGGCATGCTGCGGCCGATGCTGGCATACAAGCCCGAGCAGCGCTGCAGCGTCCGGGATGTTGTTGCTTCTGAGTGGATGACCAAGTATGCGATGCCCGAGTACGAGAGGATGCGTGCTCTAGAGAAAAAACATCTAAACTATCCAGACTAGCTATGACCTTTCCCGCCTTCATATTTTCATCCTGATCTATATTGGTCTCCTCTAGTCGCCTTGCTCAGTGTGCTTACTACTGAGCACGCAAAGCTCAACTGACCGCCATGGTCTAATCGGGGCGCCTACACATCCGTCTTCCCTGGCCGGTTCCTGTTCGCAACACCACCTGCCACCTTTTTACAGCCCTGGTCCAAGTTAGACTCCTTTGCTGCTGTATCTGGCTCACGGGTTCCAAGGCAATCCTGGAGAGATGGAGATTGCCGCTGCCCAACCATGTATTTACACCACTCCGATGTGCCAAGGCATTCTTCATCGTACTCATTTCTAATATCGAGAGTCGTTCTTATCTCATCGCAGAGTAATCGTTCCCTCTCTTCACCGGCAGCAGGCTTTACAAATGGCAGCTTCGGCTTGTTTGTGTCTGCCTCGTCGGGCGTGGTTTGAATTTCTTCGAGATGACTGAACTTTTGATCAAGCGCAGTCGAGGCTGGGGTTGATGTCGATGCAACTACCCCGGCTTCTTGTCGTTCAGCCGGGGAGGGCATGGCAATAGCGACGCCTGCCAAGAGGGCACTTTGAAGTAATTGATAAAATTGCATGTTGAAAAAAATCAAGCCGTATTGCCTGCCCAGTAGTAGCGAGGACACGGAGAGAGATGGCTTGTTGCGTGATGCTAGAACGAGTACCGGTGGTGTGGTTTTCAGCCAAGATTCGAGGAGGCGCTACAGGATCAGTTTATAGGCCCGTCATGGAAACTTTTAGGAAGTCTTGGCTGGAGGCTATGTTTCAATTATTAGAAGGCATTGTTCATGCCTTGTCAACAATTGCAGTTTTCCGCTAGCATGACTTGGTCTACATACGTAAGCTGAGCCATAGTGAGTCCGAAGTAGCGGTCGCCATGCATCACCACCCGCGGTCCAAAATAATAGAAAATCAGGGCCCTAGGGCGCCTTTGGCTGGAATCAATCCTAGTCAAGTCTCTCGTCCGCATCCTATTGGATGTTTAGTTATGGCCGATTCTCTAGGGCTACCAAAACGCACCTTTCAAGCACGACACCACGTCGTCATTGCATTGTTACCACGCACCACAGAGACCTTTTCTGAAAAGAACAGCGTACCTAGAAAGGCGCTGGATCATGCAGCTCTGTCCTGCTTCTATCAATGATGAATCCATCCTGCAAGTTTGAGTCATGATGGCCCGCTCAGTGCCTGCCCAACGTGTCACAGGCATAATATGGTCCGACGCAGCGCATGAAGGAAAGATTGAAGCCAGTAGGTTTCTATTAGCAAAAAAAAGGTTATAGCAAATGTATGTAGCAAGTGTATGTAGCAAGAAAGGTAGCAAGATATGTTGAGCAAAATATATGTCGGCAAAAGAAACCAAAAGAAATTCGTAGCAATTATTCCATGGTATCATCATCCACGTCCTCACCGTGGTAGCCCTTCTCATACGGGAGCGTCCACGCCGCCGCCGCCAGCGCCGTCAGCACGCTCTCGCTCCTGATGGACTCGAGGAACAGCGTGCGGAAGTCGACGCGCGGCCCCGTCTGGGCGCTGCGCATGGCCTCGGCGGCCATGGAGTCGTCGGCGTCAGCCGCGGCCGCCGTAGCCGCCATGTACGCCACGCGGTCGCGCAGCATGGCCGCGCTGGGGAGCAGGATGTCGTCGTCGTCGTCGTCGGAGCCGCGCCACAGCAGCGGCGGCAGCCGCGCGGCCTGCACCAGGGGCACCACTTCGGCGGAGCCCCAGTCGACGATACTACAGGAGAGCAAAGCGTCATGTTAGGAATAGCAACCCGGGAAGGAGGAGAGGTTGGGAGAGAGGGGAGAGAGCGTACGCCTCGATGATGCATTGGTCGGCGCTGATGATGCTCTCGGCGCGCAGGTCGCCGTGCTCCATGGCAAACTGCTGGCAGTCCTTGTCGTCACCTAGGACTCGCGGCAGCAGCGCCAATTGGTCGAGCACGTCCTGCTCAACCAGTTCAGGCAGGTTCCCCGCGCGGATCTGCTGCAGTCGTCTCTGGATGCGTTGCTCATAGTACTCGTACGCCGTCATCTCTCCTGTACATCAGCACACTCATCATCAGTCCGGCGCATTCATTATACACACACACACGCTCCCTCTCTCCCGCTGCCACTCTGCCCCGCCCCCCTGCCCAACTTGTTCCCCTTCCCCAAACCAGGTTTTCTTTCTTTTTTTTCACGTACTAGTTTCCAACGTGCGCTGAAGCAGCTGCAGCTGTATGCGCGCCAACCTCGCCAGCAGGGGCGGCCGCTGCTCCTCGGGCGGGGAGTCGTCGGTCCAGCGGAGGCGGTGCTCGCCAGCAAAGTCGAGGACCAGAAACGGGTATCCGACGGGGTTGTCAAACGAGAGGCTGGCGCCGACGAGGCGCGTGGACCAGTGGAAGTCGACGGCGCCGAGGCGCTCGTACACGCGGCGCTCGGCGTCGGCGCGCGCCAGGATGGACGCGGCGCTCTCGTCGTGGTGGTGCCGCGGGTGCTCGACGCGCAGACACACGCTCGGCCGGTCCGAGAAGCTCACGCGCAGCACCTGCCACTCGTCGTTGCCGTACGCGCCCTCGTACGTCGGGTGCGACGCGCCGCCGACAAAGGCGAGCACGGCGTCGAGCACGGCGTCGGCGGTCAGGTTTTGCTCGCGCAGCCGGAGCATGGCGGGCGCAGGGGGGGATTCTTTGGGGGGAACAAGGACGACGAAGGGGGGAAAAAAGAAGAAAAAAAAAGGAAAAAAAAAACGAATGTGCGTCGGGCAAAAAGAGGGACTCGAGAGGGTTTGGCAGGAAAAGATGGCCCAGTGTTGGTAGTAAGTTGGACAAGGCTGTGTAACAAGACGGCGACCGTTGATGTCTTGGAACTTGGCACCAACCGTTGGATGCCAACATGTCTGTGTCACCAACCTGTTGTGCCAAATCAGGCAAGGTTGTGTGGCGTATAAACCTGGTCGTATGCGGGCCAACAAACAAGACGACGAAAGTACCACCAGGTTGCAAGTTGCAACGTCACAGCGCATCAAGCCATTGTCATGCCTTCCATATATGTCCGGCCATATACGTATATCTTCATATATCCGTAACTAGTCCTTGTATGCGTAAACATCTCCACGCATGTCCCTATCCCAGCCCACCTCATCTCACCTCACCCAACCCCTCACCACCATCACCACCATCACCAAACCACAGCCGTGTCCAGCTCATCCCCGTCCCTCTCCCTCAAAACCCCCCCTTTCCTCGCAAACCAGCCCTCCGCCTCCTCCACGCCCATCAGCGCCGTCATCCACATCCGCCCAAACGCATCCACATCCTGCGGCGCAGCCTCGTGCGTCATCCTCTCCCACCTCGTCCTGCTATTCGTCACCACCCACCAGCGGCCGTCCGTCCACGCCTTCTCCCACGCGCCCTCGTTGCGCGCGCACCACAGCGCCCTCGACAGCGTCCACGCGTGCCGCAGCGCCGTACACCGCGGCGGCTGCCCCTCTACCCCTCCCGTCATGGCCCGGTACGCCTGCAGCATATAAAACGAAACCAGCACAGTGCGCCGCGCCGACTCATTCAGCGCCCAATCTTGCCACGTCTCGCGCAGCACCCCGTCGTCGTCGAAGAGCTGCATGGCCTGGTACAGCAGCAGCGCGTGCGTGTGCGCGAGCGTCTGCTGCAGCGTGGCCGGCGCTGCAGCGGCGGCGGCGAGCAGGGCGTGGACGCGCGCGCCGAGCAGCGCAAACACAACGCCCGCGTTGCTCCCCGTCCGCGCCAGGTAGAGCGCGCAGCACCCGAGCGCGTCCTGCATCGCCGCCGGCATGGCCTGCTGGTAGAGCAGGTGGTGCGACCAGGGCGTCTCGAGGCGCGCGACCATGGTGCGCGGCGCGCGGCGCATCAGCTCCACGGCGAAGGCGAGCCGCGACCGCAGCAGCGCCGCTATGTAGGCGAGCTGCTGCGCCGCCGGCGCCAGCACGGCCGTGCCCGGGTCGAAAAAGGCAAGCGTCGGCACGTAGTTGTAGTCGTCTGCCGTCGCCATCTCGGCGTGCAAGTACGGCCCCGGCAGCCACTCCCAGTCACCGCATATCGTAGCATGGTCAAGGTCCGCCAGACCACCACCGACCTCGAAGCCGCTCCTGTCCACCCCGTTTATCAGGGGCCCTATATCCATGTCCACCGGTGGCGGCATGGTCAGCCAGTCTTGCAGCTGCGCGGTGCGGACCTCCGCCAGCTCCGTCAGCGTCGACGTCACCCCCTGCGGCGTTGTCGTACCAGTCCTCTGACGGTGGTGGTGTGGGTAATCGCACACCATGACGCCGCGACGCGCGCAGCGCATACACGCCGCCGCCGCCGTTGTCGCATCGGGATACTCGCACCGCCGCTTGGCCTTGATGCAAGGCGTGCACGACTTGCGCCGTGGCGGGGGGTTGTCGCGCTCTATGGCACTGTTGGACATGTTTCTTCTTTTTAATTATGTGATTGCCCAAAGATTCCGGAGCGAACCGATTCGAAAAAAGAAAAAAGAGAGAGAGTAGTTGGAAAAGGAAAAAGGGATACGGTGTTGACGGAATTCCGCCAAGGCTTGTCCCACATCCCCGGTCACCGGCTGTGGGGCGGCGGAACTCCGCCGTGTGACGGGCGGCAAGGCCGGAGCTTACAGACTTAGGGCCGTCGTCCGCGGAACACGGCTTAACCCCATCCCAGCGACCGGCAGCTGGTCGCAGGAGGTAGTGAGTCTGATTAAACATGGACTACTTATATAAGAGCTCACTTTGTCGACAAAACTTGCGAAACCATCCCAATTACACGCCATTCAAACCTCACAGCTCTTACCCAAATCCCCCATCACAAATCTTCTGCCAAACACCAACCATGAAGGTTTTCATCTGCGGCATCACCGGCAACCAAGGCTCCGCCCTCGCCCGTCTGCTGCTGCCCTCCATCCCCGTCGTCGGGCTCACCCGGTCGCCCTCATCAGCGCCCTCTCTTGCGCTCATCTCCCTGGGCGCCGAGCTCCACACGGGCTCCTACACGACGCCCGGGGTGCTCGCGGCCGCGCTCGCCGACTGCACGGCGCTGTTCCTGAACCCGGTGCCGAGCATGACGGACCCTTCCTCCGAGCTTCGCGACGGGCGCGCCATCCTCGCCGCCGCCGCCCACATCACCCACATCGTGCACTCGACCGCCCTCGGCGTCGACAACGCCACGCACGCCCCCGACACGCTCGTCGCCAAGATGCTGCACGAGAAGCACCTTGTCGAGGACGCCGTGCGCGCCGCCGCCGTGCCGTCGTGGACCATTCTGCGCCCGGGCAACTTCATGGCCAACTACGTGGGCGCGGCCGCCGCCGCGCGGCAGCAGGAGCTCGTGCAGACGGGCGTGTCCACCAGCGCGTTGACGCGCGACACGCTGCTGCCGCTGGTCGACGTCGCCACCATTGCGGCGTTTGCGCGCGCGGCGCTGCTCGACCCCGCCCGGTTCCACGCCCAGGAGATCGCGCTGGCCGACGAGCTGCTGACGCTCGACGATGTGCTGGCCAAGCTGGGCGCGGCGGCGGGAAGGAAGATGCGGGCAGACTACTTGGCCGAGGACGAGGTGGCGGCGCGCAGGGCGACGGACTTCATGGTGGACATGCAGTTTCTCATGCGCGGGCTCGCGCGGTTCGTCGACGTCGACAAGGTCAAGAGCTGGGGCGTGCCGACGAGCTCCTTTGATGCGTTTCTGGAGAGGGAGGCGGCGCTGGTCAAGGAGACATATGGTGCCGCAGGCGGGTCGGCATAGGGTGGTCGGCATGGGACGGGGTGCAAGTGGCAACTGGCAGGACTGGATGAATCATATATGTGGCCCTGTACAGGTGTCTTCTATTCCATCGCTATGGAAAATTACCATGGACACTCCTTCACTAAACAAACGCCGACTCCCGCTCCAATGAATACATGTCGCTTTAAGCCCCATCTATATAGATGTATCAATGAACGCCAGGTCTTACAAGAAAGATTGATATGAGTGTATCAAAACGCCAAAGCAATCCCAAGAAACAAACGCCAAGATGCGACAAAGAGTAACACAGAGCCACGAGGCTGGTACTGCACTACCTACTACCTTGCGTATCAACCGGCGAAATGCGATCCGCGTCATTGCTGGTAATGACCTGGCTCACCGGGGCTGCGCGCGTCGCCGAATTACGCCATCCAATGGGCATGTTAGACAGTCGGCGGGTGCTATTGTTGCTGTCGCTGCGCACCCGGTTGACCGTAACCGGCATCTGCTGTATCGCCTTGTCGCTGATGCGCGAGCTGCGCGAGCTGACGTAACCAGTGGTAGCCTGAGCGCCCTTTTCATTCGTTGGCGAGCTGCGGCGGCCGCCGGCTGCTGCACCGACAAAGACACCGGCTCCAGCTCCGGCGGCCACCCCACCAGTCACGGTGGCCTTGAAGTTGGCAACAGAACCCTTGACCTGGGCCAACATCTTCTTATCCGACGTCTCATCAAAAAGTAGCCAAGCGACGGCGCTGAAGAGGCCGGTCAAGATGGCCAAAGTGAGAAAACTGGCAGCGGCCTTCATTCCGGCGGTTGGAGGGGTATAGTTGAGGGTGGGATCCTTTCTACCAATGTCGCCGGCGCCCGCATTGACATCGCCCTCGCTGGTGCCGCCCGAAGCGGCCGTCTTGGGGACTCCGCGGCTCTTGATGGTAGTGGATAGTAGGACTTCCAAGGCGGCCATTTGTTGGCCGACGCCGGTGGTCCCGTCGTACTTGCCCTCGTTTCTCGCCCATTTCAAGCCACACATTCTACCATTGCTGCCTCCAACACATTGGTTCACGGCAGCCTTGGCAGAGGCTTTGAGATAGGGAATTACGGTATCGTACGTGTCTGGGGCCCACTGGGTGGCCGCGGCGAGCCATCGGGACAAATAGGCCTTGAAGGATTGCTGATCAATGTTGCAGCGGTCGACGGGTTCGCAGGCGACCTCGGACATGATGTCGTTGTTGTCGCCGACGAAGAAGACTTCAGACCCTTTGATGAGGCCATCGAGGCGATCTTTCCAAGTCTTGGATTCGGTATGGTTGTACATGGCGGCCGCGCCGAGAATGAAGCCGCCGGCGTTGTAGCTGAACTGGTAGGGACTGAAAGTGGTACAGTTACTACCAATAGCGGCACCGTCAATGACGTAGTAGGTTTCGTTGTTGATGAATCCAGTCGACCACATCCAATCCCAAGTCCTCTCGGCCCAGTCCGCATACGTTTGGTTTCCGGTGTAGAGGGCGAGTCGTGCGCCGAGGGCAAAGAAGCAGGCCTGGGAAATGGAGTTCTGGGGAGTGTCAGCGGAAGATGCGGCGGGCAAAGTTCAAGGTAGTGTAGCAGGAATGCACCTTGTAATCGTAACCCTTGTTCCATTGGTAAATCTGCCAACGCAGGCCGCCATTGCAGTCTTGGGTATCCCAGCGGGCGGCTTGGGTGTTGAAGACGGCCTGGGCGAGGGCGAGCCACTGGGGCTTGTCGGCTGGGGGGTTAGGAAAGTTGTATTCGGCGGCGGACATGACAGCAAGGCCCCAGAAGCCTTGGTCATCATTGCCCTCGGTCAGGGTCTGGTTGTTTGGCATGTAGTCCCTGTTGGTGCCGACCTGAAAGAGCAGGCCGTCGGAGACTAGTTGGTTGTACCCGTCGTCGCCAGTGTAGTACCAGTAATCAATGAGGGCGCCAAACATGGCACCGGCTTCCCACCCTTTCAGGATATTAATAGAAGACCAAAAAGACGGTGTTTGGGGCGCAACGAACAATAGTATGGTGAAGGCAGCAGACCGGGGATGCCACCAGGTTTGTCGCCAGAGTAGAAGGAAAGCATGTCGTCGGCGAGGCCCTTGGCGGTCTCTTTTATGGATTCTGCGCATTTCAAGGTCAGTGGTGGACAGTCAGTCCATTTGACGGCGTGTCAAAACGTACGTTGTGAGGTCAGGTCTAAGCTATAGCCGGCAGCTTGGACAAGGCGACCAGTGAGGAGCAGCCAAGCCATGAGGGCACGGCCAAGGCGCGATGCTCTCGATACGGCGGCAAGCATGTCGATTTCAGCACTGCCTTGTCGCAGTTGTTGTGTGTACTGTTTGGGAAGAGAAAATGGAGTTGAAAATCTAGGTGGCGGACATGGAACCCATGGGGATAAGCGAGAGACTTGGGGTTTGTTGTGTGTCGTAGTTCGAAACAAGTCCAATGCAATGGTGGAGGGTGGCGGCCCAAAGTCTGTTAAGCGGGTAACTACCTAAGGTACGTAGGCAAGTGTGAGGTGTATCGTGTATGTCGTCGGCTGCTACTCAAGGTCGGAAGGTCGTTTGAGAAGCGGCGCGGGGGAAATGACGGTGAGATTTGAGCGTCGACGGAGAGGACGACGGAAGATGGGGTTCGTCACGAGAGGAGAGGGGGGGGAGGAAGCAGAGGATGGGAACGAAGCAAACGCGACGTCAGAAGAAAGAAACGAGGCTTTGGGGACGGCTGGTGGTTGTTGCGGGTGCCACGCCACTCACTGACCACAGCCAGCGCCAGTAGGGCGATGGTGACCACTGGTACATGCTGTAATAGGAGGTACCTCTTGTCATGGTGAGGGGAACGAATGCGAAAGCGGCAAGGCGCTGGAGGTCGACCAGCAGATGGTTGGAGCTAAGCCTGGTCGCCCAGCGGATGGTTGATGGCTAGCAGCTGCCAGCCGGGCATAAATACGAGGACGGAGCCCAGAATACCTGGCGCTAAACCCCAAACCATACAGGGATGGAGTGGTCGATCCGGGGACCCAACTAGCCTGGAATCAGCCTGGAATCATGCAAGTCCGTGGTTAGCAGCGAGCGAGGCTGGGCTGGTCGGTTGGTTGGCAGCAGTCACCAGGTACGTTTGACGCTGTGTGCAGTCGGTCATGAAACAGGCACCTGAAGGATCATGTTGTTACAGAGCAGGTACAGATAGGTACGTACGAATTAGTTACAGATTAGTAATAATGAATACGAGTCTCACGCATCTTAGCTGCAACCATCCCAGCCATGTCCCCCGCACCAGCCACCAGCCTAGCCACACCCACTGTAGTGTACTCGGTACGGGCTACAACAAGCTCATGGGCGCTACGGAAAGCCACCCAGCCACCAGCGCGCCCGCTAATAAATACATAAACCAAGTGTTGTTGTCACAGCACGTACTGGTAAGCGTGTATAGGAGGTCCGTCATGATCCCCATCAGACAACTCGGCGCCGGCCCGGAAAACGTGCACTCGTCTTGGCTATCCGCCTCGTCTGTACATATTATGGGCAACTATTAGCATGGTTTCCCATTTCATTTTGTTGTTGCTCATCTAGTCAACATAGTCGTCACCACTCACTAGTTGCATTCACTTTTCCACCGCGTCATGAACCCAGATATCTGGCAGCTGTCATGGAAACCGTGTAGACGGGAATGCGTGAGCAAGATCCTCTTCAATTACAGGTATTATTCTACATCGTCCATCATCAATGGGACTTTCATCATCCTGAGCAAAAGCACCACATTCACTCCTACACCAGCATGAGAAAAAGCTGCGCAGAGAAGCCTGTTTTGATCAGCAACAGGATGCGGCTGCTGCTAGCGTCTTCTTTTGCAAAGACTTGATTGACAAGTCCAAACAAGTGCTCATTCGTTGCATTCCGATCGTTTTCTCTCAACTGGAGAATCAGTATTGTCCGGGAGCGGCGCCTTCCTGATAGACTCCGCATTGATGAGAAACGCCCCCAGACTAGACCAGAACATTCCAATCAATGGACCGATGTGAAACATTGGACCGATATGGAAACGGCAATTTGAAGACAAAAGGTCAAATAACGGCCAGCAAAGTGCCCTGCACAGGCGGCGGCCATCTACAGTGTCAGCTGTCTCTTCAGAGCATGGTTTCGGCGCAGTGCATGGCCGTCCTGGCCAGCAATTCCAGTGCCTGCTCAATTGTAAGGTAGGTACCTGGCGTCCCCTTGGGACAGCCTGAAGAGTTCTGCCCCAAGTCATGGACTCTCTGCCTATCGTCTGCTCGATTTTACTATTGTCAACCCAACGACGTTGACTTGCCAGTGGCCGTTGGCAGGCTTACTACTGCAGCATTCGACCCAACAAGCAGAAGCATATAAATATACATTTTCACACAATTTGAACACGTAATGAGACAATAATGAACTACATTATATTAACTAACTAACTAATCCGCCGCAAGTTATAGTATATACCTACTATTACTTCATTCATAGTGCTCTGAGTTGATTAGTGTAAATGCCTCCCCCAAGCGCTGCCTATCCTAGAAAACTGACACCAACAGCTGACTTGACCGTACCACCAGCACCTGGCATTAGCCCTTTAAGCATCTCGGAAAGTGTTGCAAGAGCGTCAATCAGCTTAATCAATGGCTTCATGTCTCCCGTGCTCGACACCGGGGGATCTGCAGGGATCTCGGCTGGGGGAAGTTCGGCTGGGACCTCAGCTGGGGGCATTTCGGCTGGGACCTCAGCTGGGGGGACTTCGGCCGGGACCTCTGTTGGTACTTCTGTACCAGTGTCGCCGGGGACAGGTGTTGTTGTATCTACCGGAGCATCCGTTCCGGGGAGTCCTGCTGCGCCAGTTGTTCGAGCAGTAAGACTCCCGCGACCAGAGACACCCAAGTACCTTGCAGAAGAGATAGCAGCAACTAATTACTCTGTTAGTGTCTTGAAAATTACCGGCAGTTTGAAGAGAGATTGGAGAGAGCAGACTTACAAGCCAAGATAGCAGTAGTGGTAATGCGAACCATCTTGCCTGGTTATAGGGCTGTTTTGAGAAAGAGAGATGAAGTCCTTGGTAGCTCTACTCTGGAAATGGTCTGATGATGGGAATGGTCGGATGGTGAGAATGGAGGAAGAAGTGTAGCTCACTTAGTGTTGTTGATGTGAAGGAGTACAAATCCAGAGTCTGGTATAAAGGGAGACATGCACAAATTTATAGCTCAAATCCGTACCTTTTGGACACATATCGCATGAAAAGCATTTCCCATCTCTTAATACCCATAATATAATCTATTACCGTCCTAAATGTTGCGTACACCGCATTCACTACCATACGAGTCAACCATGCTTATGCCCAGCCCTGGGAGAGGCTTAGTATAATGCAACGATTCAGTGGCATTTATACAGGCGACTATGCAGCACTTTATAGTAGCTTGCTATTAAAGAAGTAGGATTATTTGACTATGCATAAATTTTTTCTATGAAGGGCTGGCTCCTGCGGCAACACGTAAGTAGCAATGTTCTCATGAATTATATAAGCAGGCTAATATAGACATTAGATAACTAGTTATAACTAAGAGTAATTTTATATAGTAGAGTTAAAGAATAATATATATTAGAACTTATAGCTATTTTTACCTTATTCTTTCTTAACTAGAAAGGGAAATTCCTTCTTTTTTATACCTATTTTCTAGTTTAACTAATTAGCCTAATTATACTCCTTTAGTATATCTTTTTATTACCTAATTCTATTAATAATTAAAATTAGTTTTTTAAATTTAATTCCTTTATTTATATATTATTATCTTTTTTTAGCTTTTTATTATAAATAGGTTTTTAACTAATTATATATACTATAATCTTTATTTAAATTATAATATACCTTTTAAGTAGATTTCTTTTTTTTTTACTTATATTACTTTAAAGAAGTATTTTAGAATTTAATTAAAAATAGTATTTTTTAATAAATTAATCTTTTATAACTACTTTTATTAAATTAAAGAATATTTAAGTTCTTTATATATATAATTCTTTTTAATCTTATTATAATTACTTTATTTTCTTTTTCTTTTTATATTTATTAACTTATTTATATTATTTTCTTTAATTATTTAAAAATAAAGTAATAATAGCTTTAATAATATACTATTTTCTAATAATATAATCTTATTATAATATATAAAATAAGGTATTTTTAATAATTATATAGAAATATTTAAATTACTTTTAATTTTTTAAAAGGCTAGTTTCTTTTTTTTTATTTATTATTTTTAATATACTTTATTTTTATTCTTTTTTTACTTATAAAGAAACCTTTAATCTTAATAATATTATTAACTTTAAATATATTATCTTTATTTTAAAGTATTTATAAGGTATTAATAACTTAAATTTAATAAAGTAGTCTTAACTTTTAACTCCTATAAAGGTTTAAAAGGTAAATAATATATTTATTATATTTAATTTTAAAAGTATATACTATTTTTTTTAATTATTTTATTTTTTATTAACTTTTAATTTTAATAATATAAACTTAAATAATATTATTATATTATCTTTTACCTCTTTAGGCTTAAATAATATTAATAATTATTCTCTTACCTCTAGTTTAGTTAAAAAAGATACTTAAATATCTTTAAAAACCTAAAGAAAGTTTATAACTATAATTTAAACTACTATATATACTTTTAATAGTCTTTATAAGGTCTTATATATAATATATATATATTTCCTTATAAGAAACCTTTAAAGTTATAAGTATTATTATATTATAACTTTAATTAATATTATTTCTTTTTATTATAATAAGTTAATAAGTTATTATTTTAAATATTATATAAAAAAAACTTAATATTAAGTTATTAAGTTTATACTTTTTTTTATCTTTTTATTCTTAATTATATTTTAATTAAGTCTTTTAAGAATCCTTTCTTTTTATATATTTTACCTTAACTTCTAGTTATAAAAATTAACTTTCTAAATAATCTTAAAGCTATTAGTTTTTTAATTATTAATAAAATAAATTTCTTTACTTCTATATTATTAAAAATTATAAAAGAGTTTATAATTAAAGCTTTTCTTATTAAATAATACTAGACTTTAATAGGTCTTAAGGCTTATAAAAAGGAATAGAATTCTATTTAAACCTTTTTTAGGATAATAATAACTATAAATAAATATAAGTCTTTTAACTTATTTTATAAATATAAAATTATATTTAATATTTATTTAGCTAAATTAGAATAGTATAAAGTTATTATAGATTATTTAATAAAAAATCTTATTAATAAATAATAAGATTATTTTATACCTTTCTTATATCTTTTATTTCCCTTTTTTTTATTAGTATTTAAAGATATTATTATTAGGTTTTAATTTAAATTAAACTTTTATTACTTTTAAACTTTATAATCTTAATTAAATCTTAAAAATAAATAAATAACTATAATAATAGGTTTCTTATAAATCTATTTATTAGTATATCTTTTATTAAAATATATAATACCTTAAATAATTTATATTAATATTCTTATTAAAGCTATAAATAATAAATATTAATATATTATAATTTAATATTAATTCTTTAATTTCTAGTTATAACTAAATAAATTATTTATTAATTATTATAAAAAATTTTATAAGGTAGTCTAAGAATAATATCTATTTCCTAGAAAAGATATTTAAATATAACTATTTCTTTTATAGTATTTTAAAAAGCTAATAATTTAGCTTTTATAGTAGAAGTTATTATTATATTTTAATATAATACTTTCTAGGCTATAATTCCTTTAAAAAGGATTATAATAAATTCCTAACTAGATCTCTTTATATCTAAATTATTAGTATATAAGGTATTACTTACTATTTATAAAATAATTACTTTTTTATTTTTACTATATATAATATAGTAATCTTTAATATTAAAAAGATATTAAATAATATAAATAGCTATATTAAAATATATTTAAGATAGGTTTATTAAATAATAAGATAGTATTAATACTATAAATATAATATTTACTTTTATTATAATTAATATATATAAAATTAACTTAATAATTTTTTAATATCTTTTTACCTTTTTTAATATTATTTATCTTATTCTTTTAATAAATTACTACTATAATAAAGGAGTTTAGACTTAATTAAGACTAATTACTTTAAACTTAGTTATAATCTTCTTTATATATACTTTATAAGAAAACTATACTATTTTCTTCTTTTAATTATAAATAATCTTAACTCCTAAGAACTATAATACCTCTCCTTAATTATATATTCTATATTTCTAAAGTAACTTATAAGTAAATTTATTCTTTTTCTTTATAGCTTCTTTTTTATTTAAAATAATAATATTATTAATAAAAAAAATAATATATATTAACCTCTTTTTATTAAAAAAAAGGTATAATTCTTCTTTATATTATATAAACCCTAGCTTTATTAATATACTAGTAAATTCTAAATACTAAAAGAGTAATAAGTTTTATAACCTATAAAGTACTTAATTTAGTAGAATATTATAATCTACTTTTTTTTAAAATTTACTAATAAATTTATTATTTCTTAGAATCCTAATAGTAGCCTATATAGAACTTTATTTAATAAGTTCTATTTATTAGTATATAAAAAGGTATTTTTAATATTAAATTATTAAGAATTAAGGTTATATTTTATTATAAGTATTATTATTATTTAGAAGGTTTATATTATTAATATAACTATATATATTTCTTCTTAACTATTAATTAGTTATAAATCCCTTTATATATAGATTTATACTTTATACTTAATTAGGACTTTATTAGTATTAAATTTATATATAAATACCTATTTAAAAGGTAAAATATATCTCTTTTTAATATTTCTATATATATAGGTTTAAGTCTTTATTTTATTAAAGGCCTATATTTTATTAAGACTTATTTCTTTAAATTAGGTCTTAAAAGTATACTCTTTAATCTTATTCTATTCTTAAAATAGAAGTAGTAAATTATTAATATAATATAACTACTTATCTTTTCTAATATTCTAAGTCTAATTATTATCTAATTATCTATTTTAAAATATATATTTTAGTATTATAAATAATATCTATAATTCTTTATTATTATATTTTTTTAAGTTAATATAGTAAAGATTAATTATATACTCTTTTTTTTTAATAATAATTTTAGTAATTAGAGTATAATAAAGGCTAATTTTATCTTTTTTTATATTAGCTTCTAGTTATTTTTAATCTTCCTTTTAATTCTTTTACTTTTATAAATAGTCTTTTTAAGAATAAAGATTAGGCTTTTTATAGTTACTTTCTAAATTTCTAATTATAATTTAAAGTCTTTTATAACTATATCTTATAAATATAGATTATAATCCTTTTTAATAAGCTTTTTCTAAGTTATTAGCTTATCTTTATTAAGTAGGTATAGACTTATCTCTTTATCTTAAGTAATAAAAGGTTAAATTCTTATTTTCTAGGTATTTTTTATATATAAATCTTATAATTTTAATTTTATTTAAGAGTTAAATAAATATATATATATTTAGTTATTTTCTCTTACTCCTAAGGCTAAATTATTAATATCTTTTTCTTAGCTTATATCTTTAAATAATTCTAATATATTCTTAAGTAAAAGTATATTATCTATCTTATTACCTATTATTATTCTTATATTATTATTATTTTTAGTTTCTATTTTTAATATTAAAGATAGTATATTACTTTTTAAAATTCTAATATTATTTAAATTTACTTTTTAAGTTTATATAATATATTTATTAGATATTATAGTATCTTATATTTTATAACTATTTTATTTAGATTTACTTAAATCTTATAACTTATTTTAAGGATTTAGGTTAAGAATAGTATTTTATAAAGTTATTAAAAAAAAATATTTAAGTCTAAATTCTATAGTTAAATTTTAACTTTCTACTTTTATTAAGAACTCTATCTTCTTCTCTAGTTTTAACTTAATAATTCTATCTTTATTCTTTATTTTTAAAGAATAGAATATATTTTTATTAAATTTAATATTCTTTATTATAATAATATAATTAAATTAAGGTATTTATATTTAGTATAGGTTTAATACTATATAACTAATTAAATAACTAATATATTCTTTAAAGTATACTTTAAAGTTCCTTTTATTAACTTCTTTTTTTTATTTTTAATTAAGAAGGTATACTTAGTATTTATATATATATTACCTTTTTATATTAATCCTTTTACTAATTATATACTTAGTACTTTATCTACTCTCTTTAAATTATAAATTTATTTTTTATAATAATAATTTATATTTATATACTTTCCTTAAGCTATTTTTAAGTAAAAAGGTAGCTATTTTTATTACTTTAAACTATAAAGCTATAAGTAGTCTTAAAGATATTATTAAGATAAGTATTTTCTTAATAACTATCCTTCTAGACCTCTTATTTAACCTATTTAATTTATAGATATATATTAATATAGCTTTAATTTTAATTCTTAATTCTTTTATTTATTTTTAATATTTTATAAGAGTATCTTTATAAATTATAGCCTTTTTATTATTATATTTTATAATAAAGATCTTAAAGTTAAATTACCTTTTAATCTATATTATAAAGTTCTTAATTATAAAGAAAAAGGTTTTAGTATTTTTAAAAATAATTAAAATAAAATAGATTAAATTAATATATTTATCTTATATTATAAAAAGAAAGCTTATTCTATTATAATTTAAAAGGTATTCTTATAAATCCTATTTAATTTTCTTAAAAGGTTAAATAGTAAATATATTATTAGTTTCTTTATTAATAATATTTTCTATTAAAATAATACTATATACCTTATAATCTAGATATTATATTCTAATAATTTAGTTATTAATTAATTCTTAAATTAAAGCCTTAAGTAATTCTTTTTTAAGGTATCTTAATTATAAATACTATAAATAACTATCCCCCTTTTTAAAGAAAGATATTTCTTTTAATATATAATTAAGATTATATCTAAGGGTACTTAAGATTATTTTTTAAAATACTAGCTTCTTTAGTTATTAAATTAGTTTATATTTAAAGAATAGAATATTATCCTTTTTATATAATTAAGCTATATAGTAATTATTCTTAAGTATACCTTCTTTTAAAGTATTATTATAGCTATTAATTTAAAGCCTAGTTTTAGCTTTTAGAATACTAGCTAAGATTAAATTTATATAGAAGCTAGGAATATAATAAATATTTATTAAATAAAAGTTAATTCTTAGCCTATTAAGGGTAGTTAAGATATATTTTATAATTCTTATTTCTATACTAATAATAGTAGATTAATAATCTTTAGTCTTAATTAAGATATTTTATAACTCTTTATAGGAATCTAGCTTAAAAAGGCTTTTATTATTTATAATATAATATAAGCTATAATTATTTAAAAGTATACTTTTATAGTATAGGTAGTAGTTTTTATAGATAGTAAAGAATATATTCTTTATAGGTTTAAGAGTATTTTTAAATAGAATATATATATTATATTCTTTCTATAGCTATTTTTTTTTACTTATAGATACTTTAAGAGTAGCCTATTTAGGTTTATTTATAATTTCTTTAATTTTCTTTATTTAAAATTTATTTATATTTATATCTAGTTTAGAAGAACCTAGGTATATCTTTTAGATAATATAGTATTCTTCTAGCTTTTATAAATAAGTCTAATCTTTCTTCTAATAAAGGTAGTTATATCCTTACTTTTTAGATTTCTTTCTTTATTTATTATTTAATATAAGGAAAGTATTCTTAATTAACTTCTTATATTTTAATTCCTTTATATTTTCCTTAAATATATTTATAGTAGTTTATATAAAGGAGTTAGGCTTAAGCCTACTCTAGCTAGACTTAGCCTAAGGCTACTATAAGTACACCCCTAGTATACCCTCTTTATATACTATAGTAAATAAATAGACTAGCTTTTCCTCCTCTTTTACTCTATAAAAGAGTTAATATTATTATAATACCTATCTATAAATACCCTAAGGCTAATCTTTAATAATTAACTCTTTTCTATATTAATACCTTTCTTATTTAACTAAAAGAAAAGCTAGTAAGATAAAAGTAATAATAGTAAAACTATAACCTAAATAATAGTTATTAATAGCTAAGGCCTACTAGGCACTCCTAGCCTAGATTATAGCTATAATAAAGTAGAATATATTCTTAAAAAAGGAGTTATAATAACTATAAGACCTCTTTAATACCTAGGCTATAGCTAGCTAAAACCCTTAAGGCTAGATAGTAGTATTAAGAAGTACCCCTTCCTTAGCTAACCTACTTATAGTCTAGTAAAAGCCTTTACTTATAGGGAAGAAGTTTAATAGTAATCTTAAGGTATTTATAGAATAAAAGTAAGCTATAGTATATAAGCTAAAGACTAATATAGACTTTATTAACTCTTTAAAGTCTTAATTTATATATATTTAAGTAAACCTTAATACTATATTATAATTAAAAGTTATTATATATTTTAAAGTAAATAGCCTTTAAAGTATAATAAACCTATATAAATTCCTAAGATACCTTAAGATAGTATTTAATAACCTTTATTAATAGTCTATAATAATAATAAACCTTAATATAATTTTATAAGATAATAAAGAGTCTTTTAATTATTATTATATATACTTTAAATAAGAATTAGCCTTAATTAATAGCTTTATATAATTAAATAAGGTTAAGTTAAATAAACTTTACCTTATATTATTAGTTATAATAAAGATACTTATAATTAGCTATAGTATCTTTTAAATAAACTATAATAATATAATCTAGATACTTTAAAAGGTAATAATTAACTTTAAATTATATAGAATTAAGAAGTAATACTAGGCTAAACTATAATAAAGACTATAAAGGTAGTATATAGACTATAAAAAGGATATTTAAATAATAAATATCTATACCTTTAGAATTAAACTAGCTATTAGTAGTATAACCCTAAGTAGTATATAGTTTAGAAAGTATATTATATAAGTATTTAAAGTAGTACTTAATATATACTAGGAGGTAAGGTAATACCTTTACTATAGGAAAATAGGCTATATAATTATAGCTTATAGGCTTAAGCTAGTTAGACTCTTAATATTAGTCTATATAAGTAGTATTTCTATAGGGAATTAGTCTAATAGCTTAGAAAAAGAGAATACCTAAGGATAAGTCTTCCTCTAGGTATATTAACTATAGTAAAAGGTTAGAAAGGAATAGATAAGTAAGATAAGGTAGTTTAAAAAGAGATAGCTAAATAAATAAATACTAAACTATTCCTTATCCCTACTATTCTAAAGGTATATATACTAATAAATACCCTTATTAACTTAGGCTATAAATACTATAAAATAATATAGAAGGGGGTAATAAATAGGCTATACCTTAAAAGAATCTTATTACTAACTAAATAAGGAATTAAACTAACTATAAAGAAAGAAGTATTAAAGTTTATAATATTTAATATAGTAAAGGTTAAAGTAGATATTAATAGCTAGGTATTCTTAATCCTACTCTATATAATACCTATATTATTAAAGCTAATAATACTTAGACTATTTTAGCTTACTTACTATAGGCTAGTAATAGATATAAAAAGGGGCTTTATTTACTTTAAAATAAAGTTATACTAGAAGATATATATAAAGGACTATAGAAAGAATAAAAAAGGCTTAATACTACTTAGTAGAAGCTAGTTTTACTACTAGCTTAAGGTAGACTTTAAAGAATATTATAAAGTAATATAGATTATATTAATAAGTATCTATAAGATTAATACTATTTTCTATTAAGAGCTAGTTAGAGAATAAATAGTCCCCTAGTAATATAAAGAGTTTAAAGACCTTTTCTAGGAAAAGAATATAATAGTATTATTACCTTATTAAGAAGGGTTTAACTATAAGATTAAGATTAAAACTAAGCTAAATAGTATATTAGAATAGCTACTATATAGCTACCTTTACTATATACCTTAAGACTAGTTACTAGAACTATAAAAGTAGCTAATATCCCTACTAAATAAGGGCTAAATAAGAGTAAGCTTATCCTTAGTTATAGTATTAATACTTTTAATAAAGAAATTAAATAAAAGGTAATACTTCTATATAGACTATAGAGGGCTTAATATAATCTTAAAAGATAATAAATACCTACTTCTATTTATTAAAAAGATACTATAGGCCTTCTTAATAGTAAAGTAGTATATAAAGCTTAATATCTATTTAGTATTCTATAGGCTATAGATAAAGATAAGGTCTAAAAAGTTTATAGTTTTCTAGACCTAGTTTAGCCTTTTTAAGTAGCTTATATACCCCTTTAGTTTCTTTAAAGCGCTAATAATATTCTAGTAGTATATTAACTATATACTAAGTAACTCCTTTATATATAATAGCCTACCTTAATAATATTTTAATCTATACTTTAAAGTCCTTATAAGACTATAAAGAGAAAGTATAGGTAATTTTAGGCTACCTTAAGGATATTAGTCTTTATATAGACTTAGCTAAGTATAACTTCTTTATAAAAATAGTAAAATACCTAAGATTTATTATATAGGTAAGGGTTTTACTAAAGCTAGACCTAAAGAAGATATATATAATTTATAATTAAGAAGTACTTACCTTAGTAAAAAGGGTTTAAAGCTTTAATAGATTTATAAACTTCTATTATAACTTTATTTTAGACTTCTTAACTATATAGGAGCTACTTACCTAGTTAATAAAGAAAGGTATACTATTTATATAGAATAAAAAGGAGGTAATTATATTTAAGATACTAAAATTGTTATTTTTATTAAGCCTATACCTAAGCCTTTAGGACCTAATAAAGGAGATATTAATAAAATTAAATACTTTTAGTATAAGACTAAGTAGCTATTTATTATAGGTTAATAAGGATAAGGTCCTTTAACTAATAGCTTACTACTTTATTAAGCTATTAACTATAGAATAGAACTATATAATTTATAATAGAGAGCTTTTAATAGTTATTATATACCTTAAAGTATAAAAGCCTAAGCTTTAAAGGTAAGAAAACCCCTTTATAATCTTAACTAATTATAAGAACCTTAAGTACTTTATAAAGCTATACCTACTATTAGAATAATAGACTAGGTAGGTAAAGTTCCTTTCTTAGTTTTAATTCTAGCTATACTACTAACCTAGACTACTAGTATAATAACTAAATACCCTTAGCTAGTAAAAGGTATATAAAGATAACTTAAAAAGGCCTTTAAAGGAGATTATAAGGCTAATTAATATTATAGTAATTATAGTAATAAGTATAAGTAAATAATACCTATTACTATTCTTAAACCTAGAGCTCTTAGTACTATAGGAAGATAGTATAGTAGTAAACCTAAGCTACCCTATTAAGTTAATAACTATATACTAAGGTACCTAGTCCTTTTTAAAGGAGGCTAAGACCTATAAATAAGTTATAAACTATACTATTTCTACCTACTAAGGGCTTTAGTTTAAAGGCTACCTATAGATTCTAAGCTAGGAACTACTAATAACTACCTTAATAAAAAGAGTATACTCCTTACTTATAATAATATACCTAGGGAAGAATACTATATTCTTATTACTTATATAAAACTACTACTAGTTAAGAATATCCTAAGATATAGTATACTATATTTAGAATTATAAGTATTTTAAAGTATATAAGTTAAAAAAACTATATTAAGGACTTTTATAGTTAATTCCTATTAAAGAGTAATACTAATAATAAATCTTAATTAACTTTATAATAGACCTATTAGCCTAGAAAAAAGGCTAGCTATATTTTTTAATAGTAATTATTAACTAACTATTAAAGTATATCTAGCTTAAGGTAATAAACTCTATAATAGTAAAAGACTATATAATATAGTTCCTTTTATACTAATAGTACTTCTATAGATTCCTTAACTAGCTTATAAGTAATAAAGGTTTAGACTAGGTTAATAAGTTCTAAAGAATACTATACTACCTAACTAATATTAAATAGCTCCTATTAATAGCCTTCTACCTCTAGATAAATAGTAAAATAAAGTAAGTAAACTAGGAAGTATAGGTAATACTTTAAGTACTAGTTATATACTCTTAGTATAACTAGCTTACCTAGTTACTAATAGCCTAGTTTATACTTAATAACTAAGACTTATTTATTATAAACTTTAGCCTAAACTTCCTACTATATAGCTATTATAAGCTAGCTATATAGTCTATAATAAGGCTACTAGTACCTCTTAAGTCTCCTATAAAAAGAGTAAAAGTATTCTTTAAGTATATTAAGGAGGGCTTAAAGCTAGCCTAGGCTATAATTATATATACCTAATAGTAGGTTAAAGAGGCTATAGATAACTCTTAATACTTTATAGAATATTTCTAAAAAGAGGATAAAGTATAACTCTCTTTATATAATATTATAATAATATAGCTAAATAAAAAACTTAACTAAGTCTAGGTAAAATATATAATAATAGTAATCTTAATACTATTAATAGTAATCCTTAATATACCTAGAAACCTTTATAAAATATTCTATATTAACCTTATTAAATAGGTTATAAATAATCCCTTTTTATTTTAAATATAAAGTAATTAAGCCTTTAAACTAATATTAGTTAAAAATAGGTTAGGCCTAAGGCTAACTTAAGAATATACTATTAAGGAAATCTTATATATATATTACTTACTAGGATAGGGTTATAAAAGAGAGGTACTTATTAAATAAGTAAGGTATTAAGACCTAACCTAAAAACTACTAAAGGTATTATAAAATAATACTATACTTATAAGATTTAAAGAATAATAAGGTAATACTTAAGATAATAATAAACTATATATAGCCTACTTTTATAAGACTAAATAAGTATAGTTTACTAGCTAATAATTAAGGCTATAATAAGTATAATATAAAAGTATAATACTTTATATAAATAAAGCTAGGTATTATACTAAGAATAGTAAGGACTTATAAGATAATAAAGAGTAATAATCCTTTTATTCTAAAGGGAGTATACTTCTATATTTATAGCTTTATTAGGTTTTTACTAAGCCCCTTAGTATATATAGCCTAGGCTACTAAAGGTTATTAATAAAAATAAAAAAGTAATATTAAAAATATAAATTATAAATATACTAATACTATATTAAAGCTATAGTATACTAGCTAGGTATAATAAAAGTAAAAAAGAAAAGAAAAGAAAAAATATAAAAATATAAAACTAAAAGTATATTAATACTATATTATTTTAAAAATATAACTATATAATAATAAAGTAAAGAAAAAAAGATAGTATAATATACCTATACTTATAGTATAAATTCTTAAAACTCTTTATTACTATTATTAATATCTTTAATAATAGCTATTAGATTAGAAGAGGTAGGGGTAGTACTATTACTAGCTAGGTTATAAGGTAATAGTAAAGAAGGGGGTAGGTATATTTAAATAGGTAATATTAAGTAATTATTAAGTAAAAGAAACTAATAATAAGAAAAGGAATAGTAGTAATATAAGTATAAATAAAAGTAAAAATAATAATAATATAAATAAAAATAGTATAAGTTATTATAATAATAGTAATAATAGCTATTAGACTAGTAGTATAAAAAATAACTATAATCTAAGTTATAGTACTTAATAGCTTAGTAGCTAGGTATTAAAGGGGTAGCTAGGTATTATAATATTATTAGGATAGTATTATTAGTAGCCTCCTAGTATATAGCCTAGGTTTATATTATTCCTTATTAAAATATAAGTAATAAACTAAAGAGAAAGTATATATACTTACTATAAGTATAATAAAGTTTTAGTTAATCTAACCTAATACTATATAGGTAAGGCTATTAAAGCTACTACTAGTATAGTAGCCTTAAGGTATTATTACTATTATAGTATTAGTAACTAAAGTAATAACTAGTATAATACTTAAGGTATTAAGTAGAGGTAGGGTACTAGTTAGGTTTATATAGGTATTAGCTAAAGTACTAGTAAAATAGTCCTAAGTATATACCTATATAGCTATTAGAACTATATATTTATACCCCTTAATATATATAATACTAGTTATTAGTATTATAATAGCCTTATTATTATTAATAAGTATTACTAAAGTATATATATATTAGTATAGATTAGGACTATTTATAAATAGGATAGGCTTTTAAATATAGGACTAGTAGCTTATAGTATAGGTAGTATACCTACTATTAGTATTTATAATATAATTTAGTACTATTATTTAGTATAAGTATAGAAGATATATAATATATAGGAAGTCTAGTTTATTATTAGACTAGTACTCTTTATTATTAGAATTACCTTATAAAGTATAGCTATAAATTATTTAATAACCCTTTTTATACCCCTCTAGGCTCTTATTATTACTAGGTAGTAGTAGTAAGGGTAGTATAATAGTAATAGCTAATATTATAAGTTATTACTATTATATTTATATATTATTATAAAATTATTTATAGTTTAAAAAGGAGTATTTTAAAAATATAGAGTTAATTAAAGGTTATAAGAAGTAGAAAAATAAAGTAGGTTAAGAAAAGGAGTAAGGAATTTATCTATAGAAGTAAAGGCTAACTAGGCTAAGAAATACCCTTTACTTTAAATATATTAATAATATAGTATATATATAATATACCTTATTTAATAATAATAAGAAAATAATTTACTATACCTAGGTAATAACTAATAGTATTAAAAAGCTAAATATAATATAACTAGCTATAGGTAGAGTAAAAGTAAGGCTAGTAAATACTAGCTACCTAGATAGCTATACCTAGAATAAGGGTAATTATAATATATAGACTACTTAAAAAAAATTCCTAAGTATAAAAGCTATAGTAAAAAGTAAGTAAACTAGGGTTACTATAAGAATATTCTTTAATAATATATATATAGGCTATAGGAGTATAGACCTTAGGTAATAACCTAGTATAGGTATAAAGTATATATTAAATATATACTAGCTTAAGTAAGTAAGGTATAGTAGGCCTATATTAACTTAGGTAATTATAGCTAATATAACTAGGGTGCTACTAGAGAGGGGGGGTATATAAAGGAGTTAGGCTTAAGCCTACTCTAGCTAGACTTAGCCTAAAACTACTATAGGCGCGCCCCTAGTATACCCCCTTTATATACTATAGTAGATAGATAGACTAGCTTTTCCTCCTCTTTTACTCTATAAGAGAGTTAATACCATTATAACGCCTATCTATAGATACCCTAGGGCTAGTCCTTAATAGTTTATAAGGTTTAATTTAATATTAAACTATTCTTTAGTAAAGTATTTATATTAATAAAATCCCTTTTTAAGAATATAGCTTATTTAGGTATTATTTTCTCTTTAATTATATCTAAAAAGTTAATAATAGCTATTAATCCTTCTATATTAAGAATTTAATAAAGTAGTACTATTTAATATACTTTTTTTTATATTTAGATTTAACTTAGTCTATTTAATACTATTTTTTTAATAGTTATAATTTATTTATACTTTCTTTTTATCTTTTACTTTACTTTTTTAGGATTTAAGGTAATAATAACCTTTAATTCTTTAAAAATATTCTTAAAAGTATATTAATTATAAATAGCTTTTAATTCTATTATCTTTATTTTAATAATTTTTTAAGCTTTTAAAAAAAGCTTAAAGTTTATAATAATACTAATCTAAACCTAGACTAGATTAATATTTTTTTACTTTTTTTTAATTATAATTATTATTTCTTTTTAAAAATCTATTACTTCTTTATAAGTAATTTTTAGGTTTATATAGTTAATATTTAAATATTTATCTTTATACTAAAGCTAAATAAACCTATAAGGCTTTAAATATAAATTACTATTAAAATAAAACTAGTTTAAGTCTATATAACTTTAGACTTATTTTAAAAATATATAGACTTTAAAGTAGAATTTTTATTTATATTATTATTTTAATTCTTTAAGCTTAAAATTAAAATAAGTTAAAATAGTTATTATTTTTTAAATTAATATATTAAAAAAAAAGAAAAGAGATT